TCAGGAGTGATAGGGGTGGATAATACACATCCCTAGAGTTCTTTAAGTTTTGTGAAGATATGGGGTTAGAAAGGCAATTAACTCTTGCCTACTCTCCACGACAAACGGTGTTGCAGAGAGAACCGTACTGTGGTTGAAATGGCTAGGACAATGATGTTTGAAAAGAAGATTCCCTTGAAGTTTTGGGCTGAAGCTGTGAACACGGCTATGTATTTGCAAAATTGGTGTCTAACAAGTGCTTTGAACAACATAACTCCATTTGAGGCATTTAGTGGGAGGAAACCAGGTGTCAAACATTTGAAGATATTTGGTTCTCTATGTTACGTTCACATTCCTTCACAGAAAAGACACAAATTGGAAGAAACTAGTGAGAATGGAGTATTTGTTGGATATGGCAACTGTGAAAAAGGATATAGGGTTTTCAACTTGAGAACTCAGAAAGTTGAATTATCAAGGAGTGTGATATTTGATGAGAAAGCAATGTGGGAATGGGAATCTAATGAGGTAGTGCAAGTCTCTATTCTTTGGAATGATGAAGGAAGCTCAAGGATATCTAAACTTGACTTAGAGTCAAATGACTCACATCAGTCTATGCAATCTCCTCTGAGATCACAAACAACTAGAGACCTGCAAGCATCTCAGGAATCTGGTTCACTTGGTTCTCTAGTTTCAATCTCATAGACCTATAATCATACTCCACAGAAATGGAAGAATTTGAGTGATGTTTATGCTCAAGGTCAGATGTGCATTATTAAACCTAAAGATTTCAGTGAGGCAGTCAAAGATGAAGCTTGGAAAAAGGCTATGACAGAGGAGATGTTGATGATTGAAAAGAATTCCACTTGGGAAGACAGACCAAGTAGCAAATCTGTTGTGGGAGTGAAGTGGATATAGAAAACAAAGCTGAACCTTGATGGCTCCATTCAAAAGCACAAGGCAAGGCTTGTAGCCAAGGGTTACACACAGAAACCAGGTATTGATTTCAATGAAACCTTTGCTCCAGGGGCAAGGTTAGATACTATTAAGACCCTCATTACTCTAGCTGCACAGAAAGGTTGGAAATTGTGGCAATTGGATGTTAAATCAGCCTTTCTGAATGGTGTTCTCGAGGACGAGGTATATGTGGATCAACCTAATGGTTTTGTGATTAAAGGGGCTGAAGACAAGGTGTATAGGTTGAGAAAAGCCCTCAATGGTCTAAAACAGGCACCCTAGTATGGTGAAATTGACACATATTTGATTCATTGTGGGTTTCACAGAAGTTCAAGTGAAGCAACTCTTTATATGAGAAACAAAAAAAGTTTTGGGGCTCTAATCGTGTCAATCTATGTAGATGACATAGTATATACAGGCAGCAGTGATGAAATGATGCAAGAATTCAAGACTGAAATGATGAGCAAGTATGAGATGTCAGATTTGGGTTTACTTTATCATTTTCTTGGAATGGGAGTAACTCAAACTGAAGGGAGTATATTTATACATCCGAAAAAATATGCTTTAACACTCTTGGATAAATTTGGCTCAAAAACTACAAGCCAGTGAGCACTCCATTGGTTGCAACTGACAAATTGAGAAGTGATGATGATAGTGAACCTACAGATGAGAGTTTATACAGGAAAATTATTAGGAGTCTGCTGTATTTGACAGCAACCAGACCAGATATTATGTTCTCTGCTAGTTTACTTGCACAATTCATGCATAAACCTTCCAAGAAGCACTGTGGAGTTGCTAAAGGGGTTCTAAGGTATATCCAGGGGACAATTGACTTTGGGATTGAATATGTGGTTGGAAAGTCTGCTCTATTGATTGGCTACTGTGATAGTGACTGTAGTGGATCTAAGGAAGACATGAAAAGCACCTCAGGGTATGCTTTTTTATTTTGAACTGGGGCATTTTCATGGGCCTTGGTTAAACAGCAGTGTGGCACTTTCAACTGCAGAAGCTGAGTATGTCAGCGCGGCTAAAGCAACTACACAGGCCATTTGGCTTAGGTTTGTACTCAAGGACTTTGGAGATGAGCAAGCCACTGCAACTCCCTTATTCTGTGATAACACCTCTGCTATAGCTATGTCTAAGAACCCTGTGTTTCATCAGACAACCAAACACATTGGCAGAAAGTTTCACTTCATTAGAGATGCAATTCAAGAATGAGTAATTGATTTGATTTACTGCAAGAGTGAAGAACAGACTGTAGACATCTTTACAAAGGCTTTTCCCAAAGACAGATTCAACTACCTGAGTAGCCTACTTGGTGTGAAATCAGTTAGCAATTTAGAAGGGAGTGTTGAAAAGTAAATTGCTTACTAATTACTTGTTAGTAAATGGTGTACATAGTAGTTTTTCTATTTGTCATTTTGTGAAACTGTTTTCTATTGAGATAGTTTGAGCTCATTAGCCAAATGTAGGTCTTAGATCAGTTTTCATTCTAATGGCTCACATGCCTTGTAATTGCCATGTGTCATAATCACAATGGTTTATGTATTGAATGGTGATGATGACTGATGTAAGGAATGAAAGAATATATGAAAGTGGAGCACCATTCTAAACGAAAGAATGAAGCTGTTATGAAATATTCTCTCTGCTTCTCTCTCTAGTGTTTTCTTCTCTCTTCATTCTTCTTGCTTCTTTCGAAATCCAAATGATTAGATTAATGGAAGCTTACTCAAATCTTAACAGTTCTAACAGAACAATTCAATATTTTTGTTTTGTGTTTATGAGTCCAGGTTCGTTGCCGGCAGTATACAATCTCTTAAGGTTTTTACTTTTGCCATTTCTTGATGTTTGCACCAGAGAAGACCAGATATGGAATTCTATAATTATCAAAATTAATGGGTAGTCAACCTAGTCATTGTTAGCGATATAGTTTTTTTTATTTGCAAAATGAAATTGTAATGCCATTTCTCACTTTTTCTTCTGGTCAATGGTGGCATTACATTTTTGGTGGAAGCTGCACTGCCTAGTTTCAGGATGGGTACAACCCAGTGGTAGTTGATATGAAGGGAGACGAGGAAAATTCTAGGAGCAATAAGAAGAGAAGTCCATTCAGTGCTGATTTTTTTGGCTCTCTGCTATACTTTCCAGCACGGGAATTTAGAGAGCTCTACAGTGATCTAATCAGGATTGATTGTCGTCGGGATATTTGTTCAACTGCAGCTTTCGCTAAAAGGGTTATTAATGGTTTCAAGAGTTCGTCTGCTAATAGTGCAAAAGATCTGACGTCCTCCCCTAGGATCAATCTAATCTTTCAGCAGCAGGTATTTCCATTTATACCTTAACTTTTTAAATGTTGTGCACCTTAAGTTGGAAGAGAATTTTTAAATGCAGTTATGCACAATATGTTACAAATTCACAATATGTTACAAAACTTGCATAGTCATTTGCTAATTGGTACTTGTGGAAGTGTGTGTGCCCTGTCTGATTTCAATAATCTGCAGTCATTTTTCTGCTGATGTATCTGTACAGTCGTTTTACTGCTCATCGTCTTAATGTACGACTTTTAGATCAGCGTAGAACTTTAAAATGAGAGGATGAAAAGCTGAGCTCCTATATATGGCTATTAACATGCATGGCTGGGGTGAATGTTTTGGTTACTGGGATGAAAATCCAATTGTTATTGACACATTACCTTTCCTTTGTAGATTTATGGGCCAATTGTCTTTAGAGCGGATTCTAGGGTTGCACTTGACTCTTTGCGCGGGAGTTGTTCTAAAGTTTTGAGCATTAAGTGAACTTGCAAAAAATGTTATTCTATCTTCCATGAATATGTGTTTTGGTTGATGAAATTAGAATTATGATATGACTCGAATGACAATATAATATGTTTAAGTTGTAGAATGAGTACTTGGAAAGAATTTTGAGGCTCATGGGGACTTAGCACAAATATGGAATTATTAATGCAAATAAGATGGTTGTGGCATGCATGGTTTTGTATAAACAGCGGTGAATGTCTTAGTTTTACCTTTCATTGAGATTATGCTATTTAAGGTGTTAAGGAAAGGTTAAAGAAAGACAATTTGTAGTGATATGCATTCACTGACTAAGTAAGGGTGTTCCCACAAGCATATTTCAAAAGTATGATTTAAGTTGTGATTTGCAAATTAAGTGACGATGTTGCAAATCAGTGGGAGCTTGAGTTTCATGTAATTAATGCCTTACATTTCCAGATGACCTATAAGGCATGTATGGTTGATTGAATCCTTTTATTCAGTTTAATCTCTGGTTGGATTCATGTAGTCACATGTTTATGTGTTGGTAAATTATCAGATAACGATATATTTGATATCCAATAAAGCAAATTGCATTTTAAGTCATAAATGAATGATTAATTATTTTGGTTCGACTTAAAATGGCATGACATGATTTATATGTTGTATTAGTTGTGTGGGTTTTTTCATCTTGCTCATAAGTGTTGAAAATTTTCTCACGAAAGTAATTGATATGGTATATGAACCAGTGTCAAAAACATATTAATTCATCTTGCTCGTAGGTGTTGAATTAATTATGTTTTATGAAGTTTTGTTTGCAACTGCAGTAGAAGTTTGCATTAAAGAGGACTTGAGATGATAAAAGTTGAGACACATTCAAGTAATTAAAGTTCATCTCTGCAATCATAATTTGACAGTGTTTCATGAGTATGAGGATTTTAGCATGTGTGATTATGAAGGTTTTGGGTTGTGTCAACCTTACAACCTTGTTAGTTCCATGTTGAAAGACTTATTTGACAGAAACTTGTATCAAGTATAGGATGTTATCACAACTACATGGCCATTAAAGTGACATTAATCTCCAATTTCAAGTATAAACATAAATATCATATGTGTAGACCAGTGGGAGAAATGTTGGATTTATTCCGATGTAAATCACCCTTAAATGGTCTACAACATATAATAGGAATGTAATATTGGAGATTAATGTAGATGTTGTGATTTGATTTCCTAAATATATCAATCTTATATTAGGTGTCTTGCAATACAAGTAAGATTGATGGAGTCTTTGATTTTATGTGATTATGATAACTAACTGATAGGCTAAAAAAGTGGGATTTGGGATTCTTTTATGGATGGAACCTTAATGCCTTAGCCAATATAAATACTAAGGTCCCTGCAAACCCTAGATACACAACAAACGCTTCCCATAAAGTAGTTGTATCCGGCTAGGTGCTTTGTAGAAGACTTTGGTGTTGCCGCATCCTACATCATCTCTGCTTGGTATTCAATGGCTATTGCTTCACGATCAGGTCAGTCAACTCCTTATTTGTGTTTTAATTATATAACCACATAAAGTTTACATGCAGAGTCAAAGATCGGGGGTGTCCAAGAGAGATGTGGGAGGATTTAGGCGAGGGATTTCAGGGATTTGGTTTAGGGTTTGTTTTCTGCGATTTGCAAAGATAGACAAATGGGACAAGGGTGAGAGAGATGGGAGGATTTTCTGCAAGGGTTGAAGGGAACGAAAGGGAGGTATGGGTATGGGTTTGTTATGATGGGGTTTAGTAATTTTCAATATTCTTGGACTCTTTAATCTGCAAAATCAAATTACCCATGGAATTTATAACATGCAATCAGTTTCTTTTTAGTTGAGTTCAAAAAATGTTGATTGCGTTGTTATAAAGCTCTTTTTTATAGTTAGGTTGAGAATCATATTGATAGATTCTTTATTTAGTTGGTCCAATTTGTAATAGATGAGATTGTTTTGTTTGATGTTTCAATCAAAATTTGATCTTTTTTTGTGTGAAATTATAATGGAATTGCAAATCAAGTATATCTTAGATTCTTAGTTGCATACTCACCTTCCCACAACTATTATATTGTCTCTTGGCTGGGTGGATTTTTATAATTTCCTGGATCCACGATTATAATGCTTTTTATAATTTCCTAGATCTATTCTTTTTATTCGTTCATGATTATGTTGATTTTTTTTTTTCAGGTTAAATGTGTCTTATTCATGTAGTCAAGGCTGGTGCATTACAGTCCTACAGCAACACGCGGGTAGTAGCGGAGCCAGCATGGGGTCATTGGTTGTCATTGACCCCAATAACTTTAAAAACTCTATGTATATTTGCTTGTATATTGTATTTGACCCCAACAAACAACTAAGGCAAACTAAATTACGACCTCCTCGTCCCACTTCTTCTATTTTCTTCTATCATATTTGTCTTCATTTTCTCTCTTCTTGTATGAAATCATTTAGTTGAAAAGCATTGAAAGTCTTCAACATTACTCCACAATATCTTACATCCACCCTCGACAAGCTTGTATAAGTAATAGTAGTCGTCGACATATGTTGATATAAAATTTTGGCATGTGTTGGCAAGAATTTGCAGGTGCCTATTGGATGCTCGACGAAATGACCCAATGAAGCGTTTTGGTTGATATTATGACTCCGTTATTTGAAAATCCTAGCTACGCCACTGTGCACGGGCATATTTTCTAGTACATACTATTTCTAGAAATATACCAAAGTAACTCACACTATTTTTTAAATTGAACTAAAATAATACATTATATTTCTAGAACTAATAGAAAATTACTCACTATTTATGAAATAATCGCAAAAAAAAAAAAAAAAAGATATAAAATCTCAGCTTAGTCCCTGTATATCTTTGAATCTTATGAGGCAAGGTCCAAAAGAAACAACAATATGTAATAAATTCAAAATTAACTGTACGAGTTCGAGGATGATCCTATAAAGATGACCGTAACTTTACTTATAACTTATATATAGATGCCTCCCCAATTCCCAATTGCAAATTACGGTGGTCAAAATCATAATTGATATATTAGGGTCGAAAAAACAAAAATGAGGGGCCAGTTGTAAATAATAAATCACCCATCAGTCGACATGCATCAGGCCATACACGATATGCATAATTTACGACTTTTTACCTTGATACGGATTTCAATTATTCTCTATTATTGATTGTTGAGCATTATGAATATATTGTTCAATTTTTTTTTTTTTAATAAGGAGGGTCTTTTTATTAAATTCGTACAAGATCTCTAAAATGTCAGAAACTGTCATGGACAGGAGAGACTGAAATGTCTTTATTAATTTTTCTTATCCCAAAATGCTAAATTGTCGTGATGAAGTTACTAACTGGTTCTTAAAAAAAAAAAAAAAATCACTTCCTCTGTTTTTTGGCTTAAACAACTTATGTACAATAGACGGCAGTAGTGTGTGTGTGTGTGTGTTATACTAAACCAATTTTTGCAAAAGATAGGGAAATGGTGGGGCAACAATGATTGTTCAAAATTAATTGAAATCCGTATCATTGATTCACCGCCAAAAGTTATATAATCTCAGTCGGTGAGATCGTGCCAACGTGGGTGGTAGGGTTGCAATTATATTGAAGTTTGTAACGGGCTGCATATTCTTTGTGTTTGGGGTAATTTTGGAACCTAATTTTGAACATTTTGGACTTTGTAATTCAGTCGGCGTAGAATTTGGAGGCATGTCCTTATGGTTAATTTTGAGATGCTTTTGATTAAATAAAACTATAGATTGGTTTTTTATTAAAATAGTCTTAGTCCAAGCCATTTTCATTAAAGCTCCCTTATTTATACTACTACAAAATAAAAGCCTATCTAGAAAATGTCTTAGAATAAAACTATGAAACACAATAAAAATAATAAATTAGCAAATAAAAGGTTTCCTATTTGAACTGAAATTCGGACTTCTCACAAAACCAAACTTTTAACCAACCAAATCAACTCCGATTTGCTCCCAAAAGGTCTCTTTTGAAAGCTTAAATCGTCCCTATCAAATCCCCAGAATGATTCTTCCTCAAAATATTCCATCTTGACCTCCAAAATACCCAAAACGTTCAAAAACATCAATCTGGAAAAGCTGCACGTTGGGCCTTGTTTTCTTCGTTACGGTCAAACGGCTTAGTAGAAAAATTTGGAATTTTGATACAACCATCTTGAAAGACTCACGAACATCCTTCAATTAGAATCACTCTAAAATTCATTCGTTTGATCACTTTTTGCTTAAGAGGAAGTTGCATGCCCTACATTGAAAATAAATAACAAAGTATCAAAATTCTACCAAAATAACCAATAAACTATAACTAAGAATAGAGTAAAATATATGGTATAATCTGGACTCATCAAATACCCCCAAACTTAGCTTTTTGCTTGTCCTCAAGCAAAACAAAACTCAAAAACAAAAAATAAAAACTAACAAATAAAAAACAAACTTTAACAAAACTTAACTAACACAATTTTCACCTTCAAGTTGCAATCCATAGAAAATGTTAAAATTAGAACATCTTTTAAAAAATTCGAACCAATACCACCACAGAGTCTAAGCCATTTAGAATTAATTAGAAAAGAACTCATGAACTTCCTTTGGTGTAAAGTGAACCAATATGGTTAAAGAGACTCGATTGAGACCCTTACCACTCGTCCTTTTTATTTAATACTTACTAACTTCAAACATAACATTTTTTTTTTCTTCTTTTCTATTTTTCAATTTTTTTTTTATAGTTATAGTAGTGGTTGTGCAATGCTAGTTCACTGAAGCTTTCAATCCAACCAATGTAATGTGTTTTAGGTCAATGATTCCCAAACCACAAGGGATTTAGGGCACTAGGTGTAGAACACCCCTAAAGACTCACTAACTCGAGCTAAAAATGCTACAAAACCAACTAACCACCTTGCCTTGTGCCAAGACTCTACTGTTTGATGCGAGAATCATTGCTGATCAGGCAGGACTGGCCCGGTTACTAAGCAAAGTCTCGAGTGGAACAATTATTACTTTATTTATAACAATAACTAAACTTTAATCTAAAAAAGAACCAAAAAAAAAAAAAATTAACTCAGACGAAAAGCAAGTGCTTCAATCTTACCCCCACAAATCATGTTGGTGTGAATGTGCTAATTGTGAAGGGATAACTCATGAATTAGTGCCTAAACAACAATAAATAGAAAAAGACTCTAGTGTGGGATTTATCTCCACCATGTCCATTTATTCTAATGTTTAAAATAATCTATGAATATTAACTTAAAAAGAATGAAAAATTTTAGCATACTTTAAAATTAAAAATCTAAAAATTTTACTTTCCAACCCCAAACTTAAATCACACATTGTTCTTAAGGTGTAGAAAAAATAAAGAAAGAAAACAACAATATTAAAACCTGAAAAAACTAAAAAATAGCTAACAAAGACAAAGAAAATAAACTAGCAAAATAGAAATAGAAAATAAAAGAAAGTATAAAATAACAAAGGAAACAGAAACAGAAATAAAAGAAAAGACAAGGAAACTGACACACCGGGGATTCGAAGTAGTGACGTGGTGAAACAGAGGCGCTGGAAAATATTGGGAAAAGAAGCAAAATTTCATTGCTCTGGAGAGTTGAACCCGTGACAGGGAGCATTAACCAGAGGCCCATTTCCTCATCTGTCCTAACTAGCGCCGTTTGGGAACCTCTCTCTCTGACTACCCACGACCCCAGAGCCGTGTAAGCTATCCCCTTCATTTCCTCTCTCTCTTCATTTCTCATGAAACTGAAACCCTAGCTTCTATCTTCAATCCAGAACGTCAAAACATGAATCCATCTCCATCTCTCAAAAACGGAACCCAGCCACGGCGATCTTTGACTCATGCATGTATGTTTATTGAACTGCAAGGAGAATTGGAACTGCAAGGAGCAATGGCTCACACATGGAGCTGCTGTACACACAGCAAAGATGGCTGCAAGAACTCGGATCTACAAAATGAAAGGTAAATCAAATCCCTCCACTGCGTTAAAATTAAGCATGGTTTAATATCTCTGAAAGTCATACGGATTTGTGAAATGTTTCTGTCATGCATTCATGGACCCAAAATTTCGTCAATGCTCATGTAATTTTCTGTGTGCTTGCATGCCTCCATGTGACATATATTGAGCAAAAATACTAGATCTGTGACATGGATTTGATGAATGTCCACCTCTGTGTTGCCTGGACTGGAATGGGATCCTATGCGGATCCCTTCTTTCTAATCCACTAAATCAGGGTATCTATACCATTGAAATTTAATCAAACGGTTGAAGTTATTATAACTTTTAAAGTGGGCCCCTGCTTGTAACCGTTGGATCAAATTTCAATGACACAGATTACCTGATTTGGTGGATAAGGAGGAAGGGATCCGTAAAGGATCTCTTTCCTCCGGGACCACCCCCAAACTTAATTATATGTGAAACGGTATTTTAATGAAATATGAGAGTGAGCGAGCGAAGGGGATTTCCAAACAACATAGGGATCTTCTCGGCAATCCCCACTGTAAGTATTACTGAACTCAGCCTCAAATTCTTTTCTGCATTCGTGTAGATGATGAATGCTCGGATAAATGTTGATGAATGCATATTTTTGTATCTTTATTGTTTCATTTATAGAAGAGTAAGGATTATGTACCCCTTCTTTTTCATGTATTTTTTATTCTTTTTTCTTGTATTACGAGGAGTTAGGTTTATGTTTCCCTGATTAGGTGTAATTTATTTTTTGTCATTAATAAAGTTTCCCTCGTATTGTCTAGGTTTTTTGAAAAAAAAAAAAAAAAACAATAAACTACTATGGAACATTTGCAACCAGGGATAAACCTCTCAACATAGAGCAGGAACTCCAACATAGGTTTGAAATTTGATGAATACTTTCCACAACTTTGTTTATTAATTTTAATTTTTAATTCTTTTAGAGTGTTCATCCTGTAATGTTTGGCAAAGCTAGAATGTCATTGTTCAAGCATAATTCGATGCAAATAAGTTTGCTTGGCAAGCATTGATCAACAAATACAATAACGCTTTCGCATAACATCAATACTATTACATATTAACAATAAGCTTCTATTCACATATACCATTTGCTCGAAGTTTGTTTCTGATCCGACACATATGTGCCACAGCATCACAGATGTTCCATCTTTCTCTAGGTAACTCCGCTGAGCAAGCAACACCAATTTCTAAAACAGAGATTAAACTTTCTATGATTAGGACGCGATTCCTTGCCCTCCCCGCATTAGGATGATTGCTCTCTTGAACAAGAACGGGATCCAAAACCTCTTCCACTTGCTCAGGCAGAGCTGCCTTCACAAAGCTATAGAGGTTTGAAGTTCCCTGAAAGATGTCATCGATCGGTCTTTTTCCTGTAAA